ATAAAACCATTCCTAGCATTCATTTTTCAATTTCAAGCTCATGTTTTTTTGTTAATATGATCAAATGTATCACCCTCAGTTCAGTCATATATTATATTGCTTTTTTTAGGCTGTATTTATATGGTCAAAATGGTAAAAAAGGCTGACTTAACAATGGAAATATTTTACTATGTAATACAAATTTAATTTCTTATTTTTGTAGGCGGTAGTTTAAATCAACCGCTTGTCAAACCACGCACCCATTAGAAACAGGTTAAATGAGTCCGTTATTTACAATTTCGACCAATACATCGTATAATATCGTTGACATGAAGCGAAAAATGTATTATATTAAAAAAAAGTGTGGTGGTGTGGTTTGAAACATAAATGATAATGGTGGTTTCTAGCCGGTAGTTTTATAAGAGGTTGATTTGGGTTCATTAGGTAAAACACTTTTATCCCTTTTAACAGTTATCCAGAAACATATGGGACAACTGGTATATACATTATTGTATTTTAATATACTATTGTTTAAATTTAGTATTCTGTGTGATTCGCGTTGTTCCTTTAGCGGTTTGTTTCATGACATGCCGAAAACAAAAAGCATATTTTTTGTTGAAGAAAATTGTATCCTCGGTTTCAAAGAGGTAACGACTTATATAGGTATACCGCCGTCAACAAAAAAACTTTAAAGCGGCCGCCAAAATGGGTTTGAACTATCCCGCAATCGCCGCCCAATGTGGCTCGAATTTAGTTAGTTATAAGAATTTTGTTAAAAAGAGATAAATAGATAAAATGATCTAGGCAAGTTGTATTAAACAATAAGTCAAATATAAAGGAATATCGCAAATGCAAAAAAGGTCGGCCACTGCTTGAAGTACTCGAAAAAAATTGGTGTACAAAACGAATTGTTAGTGGGAAGTCAACTAGCTAAAAACATCAACAAATCGACCTCTTTGATTTACCGCCCATAGACGGAGATATATTGTTTTACTTAAAATGCTATTCGTATATTATTCATCATTGAATCAAAAAAATACTTGATTTCAATTCTTTTTTTCCGCATTGAATAATGATTTTTTATTTCACTTATTAATTAATATAATTAATTTTAGAAATTGAAATGTTTGGTGAATATGTTTTTTTGCAATGAGCCTATCCGACAATTATTCTTAGTAAGTATTTAATACAAATGTTCTTCTAATTTATCTTACAAAGTAACATTTTTTGTAATCTAAAGTGTCCAAATAATCCATACCTACTTTAAGTAACTAGTTACATAAATTAAACTGGTTATCATAATTATGTTCATTATTAAAAAAGAAAATAAATTAAAAAAAAACATGTTTGGTATTTAAATTAATATATGTATAGGTTACCTCTATTGCTTTTGAAAGTATATATAGGAAGAACGAAGATTGGTTATATAAAAATACATTCGCTATTTTAAAAAGTCATCCTAAACCTGAACAAAATAATCGAATGACTGTTTCACTCAATACACGAGAAAAAATATAATTATAAATTAAAATATCCCTAACTATGTACTATGCAAAATAACCCATTTTCTTGACAAGAAAAAAGAAAACTGTTTGTGGTGATAAATATTTAAATATTTTAAAAGTATCAGATTGGTGTGAAGTTGACTATTATTTCCAAATATTCATTTTCTAATATCTTTGATTGGAAGTACACAAAATTATTGGCTAGTCATTTTTTTCCAAACAATTCTATAAATAAAGAAAATTTAAACAAACTGACCAATATTTAAATATTAAACACACATCACGACGCCACTGGCTCTTCCTATTTTTTTCTGCTTCTACATGTTGTAAGCGACCAGCTCGTCTATATCGGTTAATCTTAGCAAAGTAAAGAAAGATAATGAATAATTGGAATGTTGTATATTTCGTACAGAGTTAGATACTGTTATTTTTAAATACTATTTTCGTGGTAAAGTAATGTCAAAAAGCATCGTATAATCAATACTCACTCATTTTTAAAAATATATTAAGATAAAAAAAATATAGTAATTTTTTTTTGGAGCATCTTCAAAATATCCTATTAACATTATCATGTAAAACCTAATGCTTGTCGTAATTAAAAAATACATCAGTCCTTTACATTGGCCTGACATATAGTGCTAAAGTTAAGCCACAGTCCCCTTTCATTTCTAAATTCCGTTATTTTTAAAACAAAGATGCATTTTAATAAAATATTTTTATGCCAATACTATTTCTATTCCTACAAAAAAAAATAAGACATCGGGATTTATAATATGTATCGGCATCACTGCAATATATCCGTCGTGTCCACAAAATGCGTTCATCTCGGAGTCAGTAGCAGAAGCTTCCGTTCAAATTAGGGAGAATAGTTTTGAGAACGTTTTTAGTTTATCGCTGTTATGACGGGTTCGAATATGAGATATGTAACGGTTCTCGATCGCCGAGGAGGTCGTATTAAACTGCCGCCTTAAGTCTCAAATAAAAATAATTTTGAGAAACAGTAAAATTTATTTAAATAATAATTTTGTTTAATTTAGAAAAATAAAAAGTGATTTTTTTTGTCATTAAATATATATGGAAATCAATAAAGCACACAAAACTGCTGATGTTAATTTATGCTATATAATTAATAAAGGGCGCTAAGGTTCACGAATTGAGGCAAGGACTTGAATTTTATTATTTATGTAAATTATTTAGCTGATCTTTTTATAGTATTAAATGGATCATACAGTTGGTATTTATTTTTTAAATTAATGATATACAGGGTAATTAACTGGGAAATGCCATAGGTTAGAGTAGATAGCGAACACTAAGTTGGTTCTAAAAAACCTATAATTTCACAATAAAGTGATCAGTATTTGATGCAAAATTATCAGTATATACAGTATAACTGTTTGGATAAAAAAAGTTTTTTTTCTGAATTTTGCTCAGTATTAATTTTGCTGGTCATTTATCAATTTTGCCGACCATTTATTAATTTTACCCTCCATTGTATCACAATACTGACACTTTACTGGTTATAAAATTAAAAAAATCATTTCATTTGTACAGTTTATTTAGACGGTCTTCAATTTTCTATAGATAAAAAAAATAACAGAAAAATAATTAGGAAGAATTTTTTAAAATTGCTTCTAAAATATATTTGATCGATTCTCAAAATTTATCATCGCGTGGGATTTTTTCTGTGATCATTCCTAATGGAGTCCATACATTAAAAAAACAGACTAGGCTCCCGTTATTGCTAACTGTCCTTGAACATGATAATAGTATATTACACACCGAGGTGGGAAGAGTTTCATTTCTGTCATGAGATTAGTTAGATCACCGAGACGCGAAGCGTCGAGGTTAGCTATGATCTCGAGACAGGAATGAAACTTCCTACCGAGGTTTGTATACTATTTTATTTACAACCTTCATATTTCGATCAAAGTTAATAAATCTCTGTTTTGTTCTGAACATACCTAAAATATTACATTTAACGACAAATTACCAATAAGTAGTTTGTTATATTTTAGATCATTGTTGTTTTTTATTGTTTGCCATTAAATAGGTATTATAAAATTTGTCAAACACTGTGTTATTTTTTTTTTAATATAAAAAATATTCATCTAGAATAGATGAAATGAGGGCGGGAAGTGAGGGTGGGAAGTAGAGGTGTGTAATGTGACACTTCCCAACCTTCAATGACGTTAGTAATGACAACATTACATATATGGTTGTAAATAAAAATAATTATGGTTTCTCTCTAAGGTGATTACAGCACCCACTCATAATTTTTGGACAAGAATATCTCAAAAAGTAATTTTTTTAAAAAATTAAAATTTTGGAAAAATATATTAAGCAATAATATCTAGAATATGGATGTATTTAAAATTTTTAGTTCCTTTTAGTTTCCCAGAAAAAAAATTAAAGGGCTTTAAATTTTGAAATATCATAATGAAAATAAATGCATTTCTCAACAGCACTATTATTAATATAATCCACAAATTTAAGCTCTTAATCTCTTGTTAATGATGTTTTAAAATTCGCCGAAATTAGTGGCTAAAAAGCCTCGTTAAGTGCTATTTTCTGATGTAAACTGGTGTAAATTGTTGCAAGAAACGAATGATGACTCAGAGTGTATGATACGATAGTTACAGACGCGTTACATAAGAAAGCAGCACTTAACGAGGCTTTTTAGCCACTAATTTCGGCGAATTTTAAAAAATCATTAACAAAAGATTAAGAGCTTAAATTTGTGGATTATATTAATAATAGTGCTGTTGAGGAATGCATTTATTTTTATTATGATATTTCAAAATTTAAGGCCCTTTGATTTTTTTCTCGGAAACTGAAAGAAACTAAAAATTTAAAATATATGCATATTTTAGATATTATTGCCTAATATATTTTTCCAAAATTTTTATTTTTTAAAAAAATTACTTTTTGAGATATCCTTGTCCAAAAATTATGAGTGGGTACTGTAATCACCTTAAACTGTATGTGTCCTGTTTTTCTTCCAAATATTTAATTTTTCCTTCTGCAACACCCATTTCGGGTGTCATTGTGGCACATGAGAAAAGACGCTTTATTTCAATTATTTCAGACGTGTTTATTACTCCATCCGGACTTGTCCCCAGAAAAGGAAGTTTATCGTAGATAAATAAACCACAATCTTTAACCTTTTTCTGATTTTTTTTTCAAATTCTTTTTTGGCATGGCTTTCATGTTCTTTGCCCCAATTTGTTGCTTTGGAATTTGTGAATAAAGAAAATAAAATGCTATAAACAGTTTTCTTCGGGTCTGTGGTTTTCTTTAATTTGCATATGGTGCCGAAATTTGAAGCAGTAAGCATATTACTTTTATCTTCTTTAACAGGTGTTCCTGGCCCTCTTGTTTTAATTTCAATTTCTAATATTTCGGCTCTTGAATTTGGTAAACTGTCTAAAAACTTTTTTCCTTTCTTCTAAATCTAGAATATCATTATCTGGCATTATATACACCTTATCAGCAGGTGCAGTTGTTCTCTTTTTATTTTTAATCTGGTGGTCCTATCAGAGATCTTTTGCTTCCTTTATTCTTTAATTTGGCGATGAACGACTGTGAGTGTTTTCCAAGTTCTTGAATGGTTATAGTTTGATGTAAAGTGGCAATAAAATGTTGCCTTTTGTTGTACGAGATGGCTGCTTCTTTGCATCTTACACCATAGTCTCCTTTAATAGCAAAATTTATCTTCTTTCCCCCAACAAATTTAGCGACTACCGAATTATAAGTCTCTGCTGCATTATTATTCATATTTAGTATCAAACTTTGAGTATTTTGGAGCAATCTATTGCCTGCAGAAGCTATATCTTCCATTAACCCAGAGCTTTCCATCTCTGTAATATAATCCTTATCTGCTTTTTCCTTTTTACAAAAATAATCTGCACATTTATTGTGTCTTCCAAAAACATGGTGTGGACAATTTTTAATGTCAGCTGATAATTGTAAATTAAGAGTATTTTTTCGGTGATGCAGGATTGCTGATTTTAGGGAAATTCGTAGTTGTAATATCCTCGATGATCAAATTTTCCTTAATTCGGGTTTTACATGCATATTCTTAATACTTTTTTTTACTGGTCAGTTCTCGCAAATGCGTACGGTAATTTCGCAGAAGGTGATTGATACACTCAACTTTTGTAACAGTCATTGGTCCATATGGTCTTGTTTCGCAAATTTTTTTATATACGCTGCTATCTCCACCGCCGATAAGACGTATATACGTTAACTGGTGCATCACAACACTGTTTTTAAAGTCTTGTAAAATAATTGCTGACTTTATGGCAGTAGACGAGCCACTCCAGTTTTTTGAACAATTGTGTTGATGAGGTTCTTCATTTTTTGAAGATACTCTAGTGCAAATGGGACAGTATTTGTCCTTGGAAGCAACGTACAGAATTTTGCCTGTCTTGGCACTAATTATGCAAGCCTGAAAATATTTATATTCATTTGTAAAAAGATAGCAAACAAGAAGACAATATAAAATGAAATGAATTATTAACGTAGTTTTCAAGACTAATAATACGTTTAGGAAGTATATTAAAAACAATAAGGGCAAAATTAATCCAAATAATAAATCGGGAGTACATAAATTAAATTGTGGTAAAATTGTAGATTGGTTAAACTGACCGTACTTTCAAAAGAAAGCTATTTAAAACATTTCAATAGTTATATTAAAAACAAAAATAATTCTTTTTCAAGTCATATTTTGGCTGAAAATCAATGGTTTATACTAAAATTGTTTTACTTTTTCAGAATAAAGGCATTAAATTAAACCATTTAGAAACACTTCAAATAAATAACCTCATAAGTGATCAATTAGATATTAATAATTCACCTTTATTAAATCTCTTTACTGTTCTTAATTTTCTGTGAGATAATCCCGGTAATGATACCGTATTGAAATATTATTAATATATTTTACTTTAACTACTTTAACTAATTAGTCTATTTTGTATATACAGGGTTGGCCAAACCTCTGTCGTAATTCTATAACTCCTACTATGCAAATCTTAACGATTTATTTGATGTATACCTGTCAATGGTGGCCAATACCAAATATCCCAAAATTATTTTCTTGTGTACAGGGTGGCCCAATAGTAAATTAGGCAAATCACTTAATTTTTTTTAAATGGAATGACCCAACTTTTTTTACAATTTTAGGTACTCTATGGTCACTAGTACATACCCACAAAATATTGTTTCTAAAATCCCACCCCTTTCGCAGAAAAAAAAAATTACCAAAAAATATTACATTTTCAGACGCCTATTAAAATATGCAGTGCTCTCTCGAATTTGATGTTAGAATTTAAAAAACTACGATTGTATAAAGCCAATAGACCAAAGATTTTTTTGGACCAAGTTTGAATTTTTTATTTTGTACAGGGTGGTCACAAATTAATTTCACTTTCCAAAAATTTCGAGGGAAATTTTTTAAAATTTTTCAAATGTATTACCCTGTATTTCTATTCATCAACTGAAGGAGAATTTCATACCCTTCCACTTCCCTATGTACTTTCCTATACCTATCTGTCGCCGTTATAAAATAAATTCAAAAGGAAGAAAATTACGATAATAAAATTTATTTGAAATTTATCCTAAAACATAAATTTACATTTTATAAAAGATGCTCAAAATGTCTGCCATTTTCTCTAATGCATACATTTATTCGTTGGGCGAATGATCGAGAAACGTTTCTAAGCATATCAGGTGTAATAATGGAAAGCTTGCACTATCCTTTCTTTCATATTTTCAGGTGTTGTAGGTGGCGTAAGATATACTAGATTTTTAATATAACCTTACAAAAAATAATCGGGTTTTGTTAAGTCAGGTGATCGAGCTGGCCATTTTTTTGGACCATTTCTACCAATCCATCTATTTAGAAACTTTTCATCTAATTCATCTGCCACTTCGCGTAAAAAATGCGCTGCTGTCCCATCATATTGGTACCATATTGTTAGTCTTACAGCAAGGGAAATGTTTTCAAGTAAAGTAGGAAGATGATTTGCTAAAAAATCTAAATACATCAGACCATTTAAGTTGCCTTCAAAAAAATACGGCCCAATAACATGATCCCCAATTATACCCCCTCAAACATTTACACTCTATCTTTCTTGGCTATGTGTTCTGATGATGTTAGGATTTTCCGTGGAATAATAGTGGAAATTATGTCTATTAACGAATCCGTTCTTGTGGAATGTAGATTCATCAGAAAACAGCACTCTATCAAAAAAAAAAAAATGGATTTTGTTGCAGTTTAGTTTGTGGCCAGTTGCAAAACACCATTCTATTATCAAAATCGGTGTCTTTCAGCTCTTGATGCAATTGTATTTTATAAGGATGATATTGATGCTGTTTTAAAATCCTTCTAACGGATGTTCTACTTATACCTACTACTTCGGCAATCTTTTTTTGACTTACATGAGGATCTTCTATCGCTGTCAAAATTACAGATAATTGGTTATCATTATCAGTAGCACGTTTGTCAATTATTGGTTTTTTATAAGCAACATTTCCTGTTTCGGTAAATCTTTCATGTAACTTTTCAAAACTTTTTTGATCAGGGATGCGTCTATCGGGATATCGTTGATGATAAATTCTTTTGGCCAATAAACAATTTCTGTCGGATTCTCCCAAAACATAGACCATGTCAATTAATTCGTTTTTCGTAAAATTCATTATTAATAGAAGAATTATCGCGATCAGTAAAAATAACTTGACACTTCATTAATAAATAATCTGACACTTCATTAAGACCCAGCCTACTTGATTGAATGTTCACTTTCAATAAAACCACTGGTAGAAATTGGATTTTTGATAGATCAATGTCTTTTTGGAATTTACTTTTAAACGACGACAGAGAGGTATAGGAAAGTACATGGGGAAGTCGAAGGGTATAAAATTCTCGTTTCATCGATGAATAGTAATACAGGGTGTTCTATTTGAAAAATTTGAAAAAACTGTATTAGAAATTTTTGGAAATTGAAATTAATTTGTGACCACCCTGTACAAAATAAAAAATTAAAACTTGGTCTAAAAAAATCTTTGGTCTATTGGCTTTATACATTTGTAGTTTTTTAAATTCTAACATCAAATTCGAGAGAGCACTGCATATTTTAATAGGCGTCTGAAAATGTAATATTTTTTGGTATTTCTTCTTTTTCTGCGAAAGGGGTAGGATGTTAGAATCAATATTTTGTGGGTATGCACTAGTGACCATAGAGTACCTAAAATTGGAATAAAACTTTGGTCGTTCCATTTAAAAAAAAATTAGTGATTTGCCTAATTTACTATTGGGCCTCCCTGTACACAAGAAAATAATTTTGGAATATTTGGTTTTGACCACCATTGACAGGTATACTTCGAATAAATCGTTAAGATTTGCATAATAGGAGTTATAGAACTACGACAGAGGTTTGGCCAACCCTGTATATTAGAAATGTAAATTAGTCACATTTGAAGAAGAACTTGTACTTAGAAACAATTGTCATGCAATGTTTAATTTTTATTTCTTTAAATAAAAGTATGAAATCAACCATGTTTGGTTTTTCTCATTTTAAAAATATGGATTTTCATCAAGTAAAGGCCAAAACTATCAAGAATTTAAAATTAAATGGCATTAAATACTTACCACTCCTGATAAAGCATTGTAGTTAACTTTATATGAACGTTTCGACCACACTCAATCAACAATAACTGTAATCAGCCCATTGCCTTCTCTATCCACTTCACCAATATCTCGAGCTAATTGCAGTTCTTCTATTCCAGCCTCTTGCATCGCTCCCCATGCTGCCTTATATACATTGTGTGAAATGATTTCATTATAAACAGCATACTGGCGATGTGACATTTGAAAAATGTTCATAATTGCCTGCTGTTCAACCATTTGCGAATGTCGACATCCTGTTGAAAGTGTCGCCAAGACCGCGGCGGAGTTCACATTCATTTCTGTACTTTCAGATTCTGTTAAAAGTTTTTTACTCTATCCACACATACTACACTTCCACTCGAAAGTACTTAATTCTTTTTTGATTTCGCTAATTATGCCCATGTCCTTAAAACCACAACTAATAGGAGAGTGATTGTCAAAAGAACATAGTTCCTCAAATAAGTAAGATATGTCAACAATCATTCTACCAATATTATGCATATCAAATAATGGAGTCTTATCTTCAATTTTTTCTTACATTCTGAACCATATTCACCTTCGGGTTCATCTTTAATTCTGAAACAAATGAATTTCCGTTATTGACCTCTTTCATTAAATAAAAATAGGTAAATAAAAAATTAACTTATCAGTTATACTTACGGATTATTTTCGATACTTTGTAGAATAGATCGACTAGAAATACATGTTTTCGACAATTTGAACTTATTAGGCAGGTTCCTGCAAATAAAAAATAATAAATGTTACTGTTATATCTACAGTAAATTAAAATTAATATAATTTGATATTACGAATATTCCGAAACTCAATGTAATTTCTTTAGTAAAAATATAATTATATGAAAATATGTAATAAAATACAATCTTACCTTTTACTAGCAACTGCACGACTTTTTCTTTTATAACTCAACTTCCCTTTTCTCATATTTGTACAACAATCCAAAAAAACAGTAAAAACAAACGACACTGTCATAACACGCTCAAAAAGTCAAATTAGACTCTGGCCAATTCATTTTGTATTTGCCATCCCCGACTGAGATGATTTTACAGAGGAAGGTAGGAAGACGAGAGAGAGCGATATTATTTTCACGGATTTCAGATTGTTAGGGTTTTCCTTCTGAATACCTTATTAAAAAATGAAATGGTTCCCATAATAAATAAGCAAGATATGA